CAGGATTGTCTGTGGTGTCCACCACTCAAAGAAAGCACACTCTGCTTATTAATGCTGAGAGGTACCATGTGGCACTTAAGTACATTTTTCTTCCATAATCTTTCAGCAGTAAGGGAACCTCCAACCCTCAGGATTAGGCAAGCACAGAACCAGCAGAGATCAAGGCATCTTTCTCACTTACTTCTATTCTTTGACACCATACCTCTTCTGTGCCACATTATAGAAGGTACTCTTCTCCTGCAGTAACAGTGACCATCACCTTTCCAAAACATGCTGCTCTAAATGCCGTTTCCCTCTGCATCTAGTTCCTAAGTTCATATGGGCTATACAACTCCCTCCACCACATGCCTGGGAAGTATGTGAGAGAAAGTGTTTATGCCTCAGAACTGCTCAGTGGTCTTCTCCACCTTTCATGAATGATTACTTTAGTAGGTTGAGAATTAGAAGCAGTCACCTGGAAGTACCATTCTAAAACAACATGAGGAACCACTAAAAACCAAGCTCATTGTTCATTACCTTTCCATGAATAAAAATAGCCAGAGTGTATGATAAAATATCAAGGTCATAAAAGTGATTTCACTGCCTACAGGGGTGTATCACAGAACCAAAGTGCCCCAGTCACCCTGAATTTCATCAGCTACTGTTCAGCCAAGGAGCTGTGATAAGTGAATGTGTGCCTGTCCTCATCCTATCCCAGCTGCAAAGTAACCCATTCCTCCTTAATCAAACCACTTTGGAAATGTGTGCCCTGAAGCAGGGACGGGTTAGGAGTGGACTCACAGGGTGGCTTGGCTGGGCACACTCTGACCAGCAAGGGGCCATCCCCACCGCAAGCCCTTGGCGCCAGCACCTCCATCTCTCTGTGGCTTTCACCAAGCCTGTGCTAGCAGCAGCCAAGCACCAACATTTCTCACCCTTGTCATTGGTTCCTCCAACATACTTGAGGAGCTTGACTGCCCCTTCCTTCGAGGCTTCGTCGAACGGCTTCCCCACGACCTCTACCGCGGCGAACCACCCGCCCTCGCACTCCCGCTCCTCGTAGCTGACCTGCTCCTGGACAAGGAGACGGGATGGAGATGGAGATGGAGATGGAGAAGCCAGCCCGGCTGGGAGCGAAGTGCTGCCCTGAGGACACCCACCCCCGCCCTTCGCAGCACCTCATCTTGCCCGGCTGGTGCAGAAACCCCGCGGGGCGGCTGCCCGTCCCACCACCTACCTTCTCCCCTTTGCTCAGCACCCGGTAGGGCCATGCCTCCACCGTGCTCAGCAGGGAGTTCTTGATCATGCCAAACATGGTGCGGCTGGGCTCGGCTGGGCTCGGCTGGGCTGGGCTTGGCTCGGCTCGGCTGGGCTCGGCTCGGC